TTAAGTACTCCAGTCCATGAAAATATATGAGATATATACTTACTTCATTGTATTACTGAGTTGGAAAAGTATAATAAAGAGTAATCTCCTATATAAATAATATTATTTATTCAAGTTATAAAATGTTGGGGTGAAGAAGACTTTCAAAGTATATTAGCAAAGGTGGGAAACACAAAAATCAGCTTCATACTTAAAATGAAGTTTTAATAAATTTACATATAGCATACCAAATGGTACAGTGGAGCTTATGAAGAAACACAGTAAGAAGACAATAATCCTTCCCAGGGAAAAATTATCCTTCCCAATGTTTGTAAATAAACAAAAAGAACACAATGGTCAAGAGACAGAGACAGTTTTTAATGTCCAACTTTCTTTCTAACGAAAGAGATGCAAATTAAAATGAAATGGCATTTTTGCCTACTCAACTAACATAAAAGAATGTAAATGCACTAGGCAATATGTATATGTAAAATTATGTTCACTCTATAAGACAGCAATTTTTCTTCTAGGATATTCCTAAATTTCTAGAATGATCAAAAAAAAAAATCATGAATTTGCAAAGAGATTTAGCTCTGACTTTATTCATCATAACTTTGCTTAAAATATTACAAACTGGAAATGACATAAATATATTAAATTATGGCATATCTAATGATGCAATTATTAGTTATTAAAATACCACTAGAAGAGTATTAATAACATGAAAAAAAAAGTTTGAAATGCATTGTCAAGTTAAAAAATCAGCCTGTCAGTATAATGTAATCTTATTTTTCTAACAAATCACAATTCCATTTAACATGTTTTCTATAATGAATGTGTATTTCTTTTCTAATTATGAAGAAATTGTTTTTCTATAAAGGCTGAAAATTATATACTATCTATGTTACAATTCTATACTCCCCAAGCAAACCTTTGATTACCAAAGCTCTTTTCCTAGGTACTTCTATAACAGAAAAGGTGGAGGAGTGAATAGTCTGTAAATTGCAAAGTACTACTTCCCACCAAAGATTCTGGTAACATATCAAAGCCTGGAAAGAAAATGAGAAGTCATTAAAGCATAGAAACAAAATGGTTGAAAGGTAAGAAAAGAATGCTAAAAACAAAGTATGAAAACGGCAGGGACCCTTCATGGCAAAACATGCAAAGAATGTGGATAAACAATTTACAAAAGAACAGACACTTAAAAAGGAAAGAAAATCTTAGCCTCTTTTCTAACCCAAGAAATACATATTAAAACAAAGGTGCAAAAAATATTTATTTGAAATATACTCTACTGTTTGATTTTGTTATATTGAGGTAGAAAAAAGTGTGAGAATCATTTAGTTGATAAAAAGGGATGAGTATTAGATAAATGAAACTTAAAAGTAATGATGTCTTTTTCTCTCTTTAATGGGAAAATAGTTTATACAATATAATGCCTGGAATTCGAATTGCAATTTCCTTTAACCGTTTTTTTATACCTTCCCCCATGAGTGTAACCTATTGTAGCATTAATAAATTCTGAAATACAGGCTTTCCTTTCATTGAATTTATTTGCCAGGGTCTGATAAAATATACAATGGGTAATTCAAATTATGGCCTAAACAGCAAGAATAGCTTCAAAACTAAAATACTATAAAGCACTAATTAAAAAGACTTATTATTGTTTCAAAGAACATATATCCACATGCTTTACCTTAAAAATAAATGTTACTGAACTCTGTTCCAGTCAAAACCCCTCCAAAATAAAAATAGTTGTGAAATAGAAAAACACTTTTTTTTCTTACTAATCTTTTATCACATGTTCATTTACCGAAAAGGTTGAGTTATATTAATGTTTGATTAGATATTATAAGAAAAAAAATCATAATGAATTATAAACTTTAAATGGGTGAACTTTGTGGTATAAGAAATACGTCTCAACAAAGCTGTTAAAAAATGGTTTAGATAATCAGTTACCTAGTATTATGGCTTTTAACTATAAAGTAATGGGATCAGAAGAAAGAAGGAATGGGAAAATAGATTGATTAGCCAATCAAGAGCTGAGCTAAAATCCCAGTCTATTCTATCTGTCCCTTAGTAACTGAAAGAACGTGAGTGTGTGTATGTGTGTGTGCGCATGTGTAAGGGGGTGAAAGGTGTTGTGGATAGTGCTAAAGCAGAATGTGAAGAAGAATCAAATATCATAGTTTAAGCTATGTTGAGAATTACTAGAATGTGGAGTTATTTACCGAAGACTCTGTCAGACACTAACAAAATGAAACATGATAGCCCTCATCCTTCAACCATAAACAGGCTAGTTCCAAATCAGCAGTGAGAACACTGGAACCTTACTGTAAAAGGCTTCCCTCCTTGGGCTGCAACACTTATGTATACAGATTGCTTGGCTGAAAAACTGAAGGCTGCTTTTAGATGCAATCGTTTTGAAAACAACCAAGATCTACTCTATGTAAAAGGAACAATTTGGATAGAAAAAGAGTATAATTATTATTATTACTTTTTAAAAGACAACACATAGATGATAAGAAAACAAAATGCGTGTACATTTATTCTTTTACTGCTAAACATCAACTGTCAGCAATCATGGTATCTTCAGTCTAAAGCTTCAGAATGAATTACAGCACAGTCAAAAGATTTCTGGGGAAAAAATGCTTGTGCACTGTTAGTATGTAGACATCCAATAAATACCATATGACCAAATGATGACAAAGCCACACAGCCATGAAGTGTACACTTAAAATTACTACCAGTACAGACAATGACCTATAAGAGCAATTATTAAAAGGTCAAGTTTAACAACTGACTGTCTTTTCAAACTGAGACGTTGGAAAGGATTGATGTATTCTTTACAGATTGCAGGTGATTAAAGAAAACAACCACCTTCAAAAATGTAAGCAATGCAGAGTCGGAACACTGAGAATAAACAAAGTGACAGCACGAAGAACAGTTTCTTCAAATTTTCACAAGAGTGAATTTTTCTAATCACGCTACAGAAAAAAAAAAAAAAAAAAAAAGGAGTATGTCCAGAGAAGGTAACACACAAGGGGCACAAAGACCTTCTAAATTATTGTTTTATGTTAACATATATTTACAGTAACTATTTTACTACTACTTTTTACAGCACACTTAAACAGAAACATGCTTTTCTATTCCATACATAACACTAATCACCATCCACTCAACCACATATTTAATAAGCACTTACGGTATCTCATGCACTGTGTCAGGCATGCAAAGATGAAAATGACATGGTCCTTGCTTACGAAGTGCCTACAATCGAGGAGGACCAACAAACAGGAAACATTTCCTCTATGTAACAAGGCCATCGCTATACAAAACGGTACTAACATGCTCAATTTCCTAGTAAAGTGGTTCCCAAATTCTGATCCTATCAACCATGGTGTTGAACAACTAAAATAGCAAATATTTAACCCAGAAAAAGAAGTTAATGAAGAAAAATTACTCTCTACATTTTTTTTCCCTCAATTTTTTTTTTTTTTTTGAAACAGACCTGCATATGCTAGGAGTCTTCAAAACATTTGTGAAAAAATTCCATTATTTTTTCATGAGCTTTTTGAAGCCCCCTCATATATATTTCATGGCATTTCTCAAGCATTAATCTCTGCACAAGTCTGAGCATCCCATGCTAATAAATGTTGATCCCAAATGACTGTTTCCCTACGGATCGAACAAATGCCGTATTTTCCTCCTGGGATGATTTCCCTGGTTTTACTACTCATATTTTAGCTGATAACCACGAGTCATTTAATAAAATGTTCAAATTATATTCAATATGTAAGTTGTTACAGAAGAGAGGTAAATGTCTAATAAAATTTTAAAAGTTTCTTAAAAATTATTAAAAACTCTATTGTGCTCAAGGGGCAACTCAATGATGTAAAAAAGGTAACTCCATAGAACAGTTCATCTAGTGAAGAAGGTGGATCTGTGGTTGTCAAGTGAATTCCTGTCTTTCATTGCTAGTTGCGTGCATGAGAGAAAGGATTTGTTATGTTTTTAACTTAAGAAACAACATGCTTACACACTTCTAAGCCTAGTATCTCCGCACTGGCCTGTGACATCCAGATTTCCCAGGACTGTAACTATATCTTCGGTTCCCAAAGACCTTGAACCAGGCATCACTCTTTTGGGCTCAAGTGTCTGTTCCCACGCTCTGGCCATTCTCACTGTACTACCAAGTCTTCCATGGAACTACAGAGGAAGCTTAGGGGCAAGATGGGAAGCAAGGACTAGGTATTTAATCTCCTGACACAGTGAAACATGGGAGCAGCTGGTGAGGACAGTGCATGGCTCAGGGCTTAAGGTTGTTGCTCCCTGAAGACAGGAACCCAGGAGCTAGGCCACATATGGCCTCAGCAGCACAAGGAGAAATGTCTCCAATATACCCTGGAAGTGTTCCAAGCTTCCAATCCCTGAAGAGACTGGTAATGAGGACTGTTGAAGAGTCACACTTGTGATGTGTCAGAAGACCTGGCTTTGTTGTGCTGCTCATCTCCCATACTACAAGCAGGAAACACCTGCCCGCAGCTCACGCTGAACGTCAAGGCCAGTGTTGCTTCATGAGGTTACAGAGACGCAAGGTGGCAACTATGATGGGTCTAAACTCGTCTCTTGATTATCATAGGTTCTACTTCCTTCCTTCTTTCTTTCTTTGGCATCATTTGACAAAGATTTTCCCTTTTACATTGGCAGGTTCTTTTCACAGAACTTTATTAATTTAAGTGTAATCAGGCCTCAGTTGTCAAAGTACAAAATAATACACCATTAAGTTTTAAAACACTTTTCGTACAAGAGAAAGGACGAGAGATACAGACCAAGAACACACTTATGCTTCCACTTGGCTAAAGTCTGGTCTTCAAATGCTGAATGATGATGCTTTTTCAAAAAGTTGTTTTCAAGATTACCACCACCCAATTTTATTCTGCTTTCCTGTATTTCAACACGGTATGTAGTTACACGAAATGGTGTCCCAAAGCATCTGAAGTGTGTATGCTTAGACTGTAAAACTAGAGTGCTGTCAGGGACTATGGCCTCCCATTTCTTTGTCCCCCAACTCCAGAGTTTAGGTACTCTGGAGCTAAGAGGAGTTCAAAGTTGTTGGCTAAGATGTCATTTTATGGAAGCACTTTGTATTTCACACCAAATCCGGTTTTGAATGGCCAGGGTTATTACCACAGAGCTGTATAAACTGTAATTCAGAGATTCTGTTGGAAGAGTGCAAATATTACCGTGCTGTAACCATCCAGAGGCCCAGGGTCACGTTGGCAGCTAAAAGCACACTGCCTCCAAGCAAGATGAAAAATCCTATCAGATCTTTGACATCATTGTCTCCAATCACTGAGGTCAGAGTGGCATCCAGGAAAGAGTTTAAAATCCACTGTCCATCCAAAGCAAAGCAGGGCACTGCATTAACAATAGCCAGAGCTCCAGAGAGGGAAATCAGGTACCTGGTTAAAATCTGCTAAGGAGCAAACTTCAAGGGTTGAGTGGAAACCACATTTCTGTCAGTCAGAAGAATTTTTACTATTGCTGAACTTGACATTACAGTTGACTCTCTACTTTGTTCAAGTCTCTGCCTATACAAACAAGCCATTCCTTCGTAAATCTCTACTATTTAAAACAAATGAATTTGTATCATTTCAAGGCTCAAAAACTTTGACTAGAAAAATAATGGCCAACTACTTATATTTTTGGGTAACTGTTCTTTTGCTTTCCATTTCATTGTTTTTTTAAAAATAAATTATCAAGGAAAGTAATAAATAAAGCTTCAAAAACAACAAAAATAAAAAGCCCTCTTCTGGTGGTTACGAATTGGGCTGTGAGCCGCAAGATCAGCAGTTCGAAACCACCAGCTGTTCCGCAGGAGAAAGATGAGGCTTTCTGTTCCTGTAAAGATTTCCAGCCTCGGAAACCCTGTACAGGGGGGTCGCTATGAGTCGGAACTGACTCCACGGCACACAACAACAACAACAACAACCTCTCAGCTTATTCAAGTTCTACATAGTAGTCCATTGAAAAATTTTAATCTTTTCAGGTTATTAAATACAAGTTCTACACAGGAATCCATTTTTGAAATTTTAATCTTTTGTGGTTATTAAACAGAACATGCTAAAGACCACATAAGGTTTTGCCTTTTCGAGCTGCTGATTTTAGTTGTTGCTGTTGTTGCGGTGCCACAGGATAAACACTGGACTGCAAGGTAGGTTTGACCTGAAAGGTCAGAAGTTTAAACTCACCAGTTGCTCGTAGGAAACCCTCTAAGGGTCACTATGAGTTGGAAGTGACTCAATGGCACTTAACAACAACATTCTTCCCTGCATCTGGTAGAAGAGATTTCCATAATTCCCAGTTACAGAGAGAAGAAGAGTCCTCCATTTAGTCAGCGCTAACAAGGGTCCTGGTGTGGTGCTGTAGGATAAGCACTGGACTGCTAACTACAAGGTCAGTGGTTCAAACCCATTAGCTTTTCCAGGGTCACCATGAGTTGAAACTGACTTCACAGTACTTAACCACAATAGGTCCAGAGGGGGCAGAATTTATCATTAGTAACTGAAGCTATCATCCTTTATAAATTTATTACAAAGTTTCTAGACCTTTGTAGTAAATCAACTCTGCTTCCTCCTTGCCCAATCTTTCCCCTCTAACATCTTCCTTCCTAAATACAACCTGAGCTCTCCCAACTTTACCATTGCTTTTTTAGTTGTTAGCAATTAACTGATACTTGTAAAGTCTTTGTCACGTTTTGTTCAAGGCAAGGTGGCTCAGTACCAAAGTAACATACTTAAAACTGTTTTCACACAAGAAAGGATACTTGACAAATGTCTCCACAATCACAGGCAGGTCTATGCTTAGAAAGTTGAAACGTGGGATAAAACTGGTGATGCTCACTACAAAGAAAAAATAAGTAATAATGAATATTGAAATCAGAAAAACAATATCATTATGAGTCTTACCAGTGTTGAGCAAGATTTGGCCACAGATAGCCATAAATTGGGATACTCTACTAAACTGCTATGCAAAGCCCTTCCAAAATATGTGAAGCGAGGCCATATGCTTCACACATAAAAACAAATGATTATTCTAGAATGCTGAATACAAAACAGTACAATGTATATTCCTATTTTGGGGTGAGATTAAAATAAAGTTAACTATATACCAAATATAAGGAGCTCTGGTAGCGTAGTGGTTACGAATTGGGCTGCGAGCTGCAAGGTCAGCAGTTCGAAACTACCAGCTATTCCATGGGACAAAGATGAGGCTTTCTGCTCCTGTAAAGATTTCCAGCCTCGGAAACCCTGTACAGGGTTCACTATGAGTCGGAACCAACTCCACGGCACATCACAATATATACCAAATATAGGAGTCTGGTAGCATAGTGGGCTATGAGTTGGGCTGCTAATCTCAAGGAGAAAGATGAAGTTTTCTGCTTCTGTAAAGATATACAGCCTTGGAAACTCTATACAGGGTCGCTAGGAGTAGGCACATAACCACTACCACCATATACCAAATAGGAGTCCTGGTGTGGCATTGCTGGATAAGGAATGAACTGCTAACTACAAGGTCGGTGGCTCAAACCCACTAGCTGCTCCTTAGCAATCCCGTGCAGGATCACAGCGAGTCGGAACCAACTTGCCGAAACTTAACAACAATGTACCAAATATGACTACTATATAGATATATACCGATTTTAAAAATATACTAGAATCAACACCAAAGAGTCCTTACCCTTTCAAAGCAATATCATCTTAAAATCACATTACCTCCAACTATTATGTCACTTAATCACTTTTGGATCTGTTTTATTCTTCTTTGCTAAGACAAGAATTAAGACTAGATTTTTAAGGTCTCTACCACTCTGGATTCCACAATCCTGTTTTTTGTTAAAAAAAAAAAAAATTGAAACTCTCTTCTAATTCTAAATGGTACATACTTTTAAATTACCATAATTGGTGACATTTCTTCATTTGTTGAGGATGTATTTAATGTTTGCAGTCTAGATCTCTCGTAACGTCTACACTACCAGAGCTCCTTCTATATCACTTAGGGTCCAAATAATGAATAAGGAGAATGACCAGGTTATATCTTGAGAAATAATTACAAAGAATAATGAGAGTGTCTTTTGAAGAGTAATATAAAACATAAATGGTTTAAAGATTATCCAGATGATGGAATATTATTTGGCACAAAAAGGAACTAATATATACTATCACATGGATGGACCTTGATAACATTATGTTCAGTAAAAGAAGTCTGTCACAAAAGACTAGATAGTATATGATTCCATTTATATGAAATGTCCAGAAAGGGGAAGAATAGGGAGTGACTAATTAATGGGTACAAACTTTCCTTTTGGGGGGATGAAAATGTTTTCAAACTGATTGTGGTGATGATTGCACAATTTTGTGAATATGCAAAAACCACTGGATTGTACACTTTAAATGGGAAAATTGTATGGTATGTGAATATTTCAATAGCGCTGCTATAAAAAAGGAAACACTAAAAAATCTTGCTAACAAATGAGTTTGAATATATGATCTTGATCCTTATAAAGAACCTATATATTTAGTTCCCCTGTGCTACCACTGTGAAAAATAATTCTAATGTACTTTATGGTCACATGCCCATACATCCTGGCTGCCTCTGGAGTTTTCTGCTTCTCGTGGTTTTTGGGAGTTCAGATAAATTTAAATCTCACAAGAACATCTAAGTAATCATCCATTTGACTTGGACATAAATAGTGATGTCACTCTTCAAAGAAAAAATGTGTCACTCTTCAAAGGTATACATAAGACTCAACTGAATTTCACTTTATAAACTCAAGATTTTCTTCCACTGCTTAAATCTTAAATAGACTAACAAGACTTTGATAAGTGATCAAGTCTGTAGTAAATGAAATCAGTACCAGGATTTATGACTTCTGGTCCCTGAGAACCTATGTGAGCTTTCTGATTTCCTGAAGGTCTACCATAGTAACACCTACCTGTGTAGTGGAGGTGCAGTGGGTGTCCTACATACAACATATCAATTTGAGGTGGGTGCTTCACTTTAATTAAGCGAGTATGAGTTTCCAAAGAAGGTATTATACAGAAACTTGAACTTGAGCCTTTTTTACAATCTTTATTGGTTCTACAAACTTGAGTCGCTTCAACTGCTTTCCGGGCAGGTAGACATGTATGCTGTAAACAAAGTATTAATTAGTCAGTGTAAAAGTGATTTATTAGCAGAAAAATTCAAGTTATTTTAGTCAGAGCCCATAAATACATTTCACATCATCTAATATATTGGGAATAAAATTCATATAAAACAAATTCTATTTACGTGTACCTTTGTTGTGGTTGTTAAGTGCTCTCAAGTCAGTTCTGATTCATAGCGACCCATATGGGGTCTCCTAGGAGTGGCTGGTGGGCTTGAACTTCTGACCTTGTGATTAGCAGTCCAATGTTTATCCTACAGAGCCACACCAGGACTCCTTATGTGTACCTACGAAAAATTAATTAAGTGCAAAAGGTGGAAATGAAGGAGGATCGGTAATTAGAAAATATGGCCTTGATGATATAATGATGCTGGAGATTGCATGATAGAATTTTACAAGATTAATGACATTTCCTATTCATTGGAAATATCTTTTTCAACATAAATAGTGACTATACACAAGGACCTCACCAGTTGGAATGCACAAGTATCAAATCAACTACTTATGTGGAAAAAGATGATGGAGAAGCTCAATATTATCAACTTAAACAAGGCCACATAGTGACTGTGGAACAGGTCATCAAATGCTAAACAAAATGAAAACAAGTTCATGAGAGGCAACGCATGACTTTGAGTACATCTACCTGAATTTAGACACCATCTCAAGAATAGATTTGACATACTGAACACTAATGACTGAACACTACCCGAGTTGTGGGATGACATCAAGGACATCATATATGAACAAAGAAGAGTATTTAAAACATAAAAAAGAAAAGACTAAAACAGAGTTTTATAGAAGAGACTCTGAAACATGCTATTGAATGTAGATAGAGTAACTAAAAAAATGGAAGAAATGGTGAACTAAGAAAGTTGAGAATATTTCAAAGGGCAATTTAAGAAGATAAAGTAGAGCGATACAATAAAATGTGCAAAGACTTGGAGTCAGGAAAAAAAAAAAAAGGCAAGATTGAAGGATTCTGTGGGCAAAATGTGGGAGAAAGATCACGCCTTCTGGTCCCATAAAGATTTACAGTCTTGGAAACTATACAGGAGTCGTTATGAGTTGGAACCAACTTGTTGGAACTTAACAACAATAACAGGAAGTATCAAAAGAAGATGGAAGGAATACAGGAGCATAAGACAAAGAGCTGATGGTAGTAAAGACAGCAGTTCAAGTTTCACTGAGGCATTAAAAATACAAGGCTCCAGGAATTGGCAGAATACTAACTGAGATGTCGCAACACTGGAAGCATGCATCCATCTATGGCAAGAATTTGGAATATAGCTACCTGGTCAAATAACCTGGAAGAGATCTGTATTTGTGACCATCCCACAGACAGGTGAGCCAACAGAATGTGTATATTCTCAAACAATATTATTATCACACGCAGTTAATTTTTGCTGAACATAATTCAAAATGGTTGTAGAATACATCAACAAGAAACTGTCCGATATTTAAGACAGGTTTAGAAGAGGATGTTGAACGAGGGATATCATTGCTGATGTCAGATGGATCTTAGCTAAGAACAGGGAATACCAAAAATATGTTTACTTATGTTTAATGACTATGCAAAGGCATCTGGCTATATAGATTATAAAAATTATGGATAACATTGCAAAGAATAGGAATTCCAGAACACTTTAACTGTGCTTATGCAGAGCCTGTACATAGATCAAGAGGCAGTTATTCGAACAGAACAAACAGATACTGAGTGGTTTAAAATCAGGGAAGGTGTGCGTCAGGGTTGTATCTTTTCTGTATATTCATTCAATCTATATATTGACCATAGAAAAGCTGGATTATATGAAGAAAAACGTGTCATCAGGATTGGAGGATGACTCATTAACACCCTGCGATATGCAGATGACATAAACTTGCTTGCTGGTAATGAGGAGGACTTGATGCACTTACTGATGAAGATCAAAGACTATAGTGTTCAGTATGATTATACTTCACCATAAAGAAAACAAAACTCTTCACAGATGGACCAATAAGCAACATCCTGATAAACATGAGAAAATATCGAATTTGTCAGAATCCATTTTATATGTATTCACAATAAACACCCATGGAAGCAGCAGTCCGGAAATCAAATGATGTATAGAGAAATGGGCCAATCTGATAACATAAATGTTAAAAAGCAAAGATGTCACTTTGAGGACTAAGATGTGCCTGACCCAAACCATGGTGTTTTACCTGCCTCCCTATGTATGCAAAAGCTGGACAAGGACCACAGAAGACTAACGAAGAATTGATGCATTTGAATTATGGTGTTAGTGAAGAATACTGAATTACCATGGACTGCCACAAAACATAGCCAGAATGCCCCTTAGAGGCAAGGATGGAGAGACATCACCTCAGGTACTTGGGACATGTTATCAGGAGAAACTAGTCCCTGAAGAAGTCCTCATGCTTGGTAAAGTAGAGGGTGAATGAAAAAGAGGAAGATTTTCAATGAGAAGTATTGACACAGAGGCTGCAACAATTGGCTCAAACATAGCAATGGCTGTGCGGATGGAACAGGACTGGCCAGTGTTTTGTTCTGTTGTACACCGGGTCACTATGAGTCAGAACCAACTTGATGGTACCTAATGATGACAAAACAACTACAAATTAGATTCACGTAGTCAATTTTGGTCAAATAAGATATTTTATTGTATTATTCTTATTTAATGAATATATTTTATTAAAGATTTTCAGGTGAAATATGATACCTGAAATATAGAGATTTCAATAAAATGATACAAAGCAGATAGAGAAAAAGGGATGTTTAAATTTTTTTCATTTTATTGCTGTATGTTTATTTTATAATGATATCAGACAGGCAACATTATTTCAGGGGTAACTTACCAAACGCTTATTAAAATTATTTCTGTAGGAAAAACACACATCTGTGAGGCTGTGATTGTTACAACATTCTGTGGAACCATCTAACCGTTTGTATGCTGAAAAGAAATACAGTCAATTAGATTCTGTTAACATAGAACTATATTGCTTCCCCTTCTCCCCAAACTTTCTTTTGTGAATTGGGTGAAGGTTTACAGGACAAATCAGTCTTGCATTCATACACATTTCGTTTCAAATGTCACCGACTGTAAGCCCCTCACAATTAACAACACTTAGCTCACTTCCTCCCTATGCTTCTGGTTTCCATTCCTCAGAACTACATAAAAGTTTTGTTTTGTTTTAAGAACAAATGGACAAGTAACATGGCATATGCATCTGGAAACAACAGTGTACTTCAGAATTCAGTTTGAGGTTCTACCTGCTCTTTGATTTCATATTAAGAAACGAAACAAAAAGGGATAGGTCCAATTTGAAATCAAGAAGCAACACTTGCCCTAGGTTAGTTGTACCCACCCACAGAGCTACAGTTATAGGGGTTCAACAGGTCTCACAGTAAGAATGCCAGTTGGTCAAGCACAAATATTTAGAGGATGCCTAAGAAACCAGAATCACTACAATTTCCAAATACTTATCTCACCAAAAAGTTATCTCCAAAGAACCAAGGCAGATTCCCTTTGGACTCCACAGATGCACACACATTTGAATGTTTAATCTAGTTACCATGTTTGGAAAACAACAGAAACAGAGCAATTAGTTCTTGCCGCCATTATTTATGCCATTATTTATTGGTTTTTTAAAGTTCTCTGGTAGACTGCTTCACTTATATCAGGGGCAGAAGAAAGCAGCTAAATCTCAGATGCAGGTGGAACAAAAAATACATTTTTTTAAATTGGGAAGGTTTCCTGCATTCATTACATCAAACTTGTAAAGTATAAATTGCTATGTGACAAGGAACAGTAAAAGTTACAATCTTAATGCATATGAGTACTGCCATGCTAAGATGTGTTGAAGCAGACTCAAGAGCAAAATTCATGCCATGCTTCTAGTGTTACAGAAAGTTCTTCATATTACAAGTATTCACATGAAAATGTTAGTTGATATGCAATGTAATTTTACAAGGATTTTATATTGCAGCCAAAGGTTTCAGTTTGCTTGTCTGTTTTTCAAATAGGTTTATTTTAAACTAGATTGTTTGAGGAAGACATTTTGCACTAGTTTTACTGGTTTGTAATGGAGATTAGTCACATACTGTTGCTGTATTTCCTCAGCCAGCATAAAGTGAAGCACTTGGTAAGTGGACTCAACAGAGGCACAGAAATCAAAGTGATGATCGATTTTTCCTCTCGATTGGTTGGTTCTGTGCGGAGTTTTGTTTTCATATTATAACTGAATAGGTACTTACTGGAAGGTGACAAATGGTATTTATAATTGAAGGTGAATTGTGAGTGTCTGATGGCACAGACAAACCTGAGCCTATAATCACTGTCATCTTTGTTACAGATTGGATTATGCCTTCCAAAAATGTATGGTGAAATCTCTCTGCCTGTAAACATGACTCTATGTGGAAACTGGAAAAGTTCTTTCGTTAAAGAAGCAATTGTCAGTGTAAGGTGAGCCCTAACCCTAGTCACTTCTGAGTTATAAAAAGACCAGAACTGACACAGAGACACACAAGACACTATCTGACAGGAGAGGCACCTCCAAGTCCAGGAGCTCCTAGAAGCAGAAACACATAAAGGAAGGTCCTCCCCCCAGAACCATGTGCTAAATTCAAACTGTTAGCTTCCGGAACTATGCATTTCGGAGAAAATACATTTCTGTTCTTTAAAGCCATTCACTTAGGGTATTTCTGTTATGGCAAACACTAGGCAACTAATACAACCTCTAATGATAATGTATACAGTAAACACTTATTTACTAGGCTAAATCCCCCACTGTTTTGTTTAGTCGCTTGCCAAGTCTCACCAATTTTTCCTTTCTCATTAGTTCTCTCCTTTATCTATTCCCTGTTCCTAGGTGGATTCAGACTCGAATTCGTTCTCACCTGACCCAACTGAACATACACCTAAAAAGTCTGTTTGCTTACCACCTCGTTATTATATGCTAACTTATCCTACATGCTGACTGCTTCATTTTAATCTTTTCCAATGTGTAGCTCTGAGCATGGAACTTCTCTAAGCCTCAAAGCCCACAGAATTTGCACTACTCCCAATAAAGTCTAAACTTCACAACTTAAAACTTGAAGACCACCATTTTCTTTTTTTTTTCTTTGCATAAAAGTCTTTATATTTTTTCATATTGTTATGCCTTCACATAATTTAAGGAGTTATAGAGTTCTACGAAGGTTATGGTGAGGAACAGTAGTTTTTACCCATCCATCCACAGTTCTCCTTGTTCTTGTTGCTAGGAGCACAACAGAACGAAACACTACCCAGTCCTGCACCAGCCTCACAATTGAGTCCAGTGCTGTTGCCACTGTGCCAGTCCATCTTGTTGGGGGTCTTCCTGTTTTTCACAGATCCTCCACTTTGCCAAGAAGGATGTCCTTATCTAGGGAGTGTCTCTCCTGATAACATCTCTGAAGTATGAGAGGGACCACCACTTTCTTATGCTATTGTTATCTCATACTATTCTCTTGCACAACTGAAATGTTAGCAGTTCCCTGACCACCGTCTTCTGTATGGGGCTGATGTGCATTTCCTTCTTGGCATCCTGAAATGAAACCAGGCCCAGCTTGAATACTGGTGCTATGAAACCTGTCCGCACCTTTTTAGTCAATAAGGACTCGTTACCTCCCACAATCCCCTATTCTGTCTTTCATTACTTAAGTTAAACCTCATTTGAAAAATAAAATGAAACCTCACACGGCAACTATTAAGGACCCCCGGTGGCACAGTTCTTTCAGTGCTTGGCTGCTAACGGAAAGATCAGTGACTCAAACACTACCTACCAGCTGCTCTAAGGAGACATCTGCCTCCATAAAGATTATCAAAAGGCATTTGACAAAATCCAACACCCACTCCTGATACAAACACCTAACAAAATTGGAAAAGAAAAGAAATTTCTCTACACAATCAAAGGCATACGTATAAAACTGGGAGACCTGGTGTGGTGAGGCAGGATAAGCACTGGACCACAAGGTTGGTTTGAACTTCACGTCGGCAGTTGAAATCCACTGGTCGCTCCTCAGAAACCCTATCCAGGGTTGCTGTGAGTCGGAACTGACTTGATAGAATTTAACAACAACATACAAAACCAATAGCAAACATTACTCTCTACGGAAAGAAACTGAAAGCATTCCTCTTGAGAATGGCAACTAGACAAGGATGTCCTTCATCACCACTTCTATTCAGTACTGTGCTGGAAGTCTTAGCCAGAGCTTTAAGACAAGAAAATGATATGAAGGCATCCAAATCGATAAAGGAGTAAAAATTTATTTGATCTATACATAGAAAAAAAGAGAAAGAAAATACAGGCAATGGGAAAGAACTTTTATAGCTGATTATATTTGAACTTATGGTCTTGGGTGTCACAAAAAGTATTTTTCACAGCATTTACTTACTAAAATTTTGCCAACAAATGCAAGGAATTTATCAATAAATATATTTACAATTGTTGTTAAGTGCCATCAAGTTGGTTCCAACCCATAGCGACTCTGAAAGGGCAAAGGAGAAGATTCAAAGCAATAAAAAACCGGATTAGTGAATCTGAAGATAAATTATGCTAGAATAACAATCAGAAGAATGAATGAAAAAATCCAAAGAAAGCCTAAGAATTATTGTGGGACACCATGAAGAGGAATAATTTACAGGTGATCAGAATTCCAGAACAGAAAGAGACAATAAAAAAAAATCACAAAGAAAATTGTTGAGTTATTGGAAGAAAACTTCCTTAACATCATGAGAGACAAGAAGATAAGCACACAAGCTGAACTAGCCCCACACAGGATAGAGCCCCAAAGAAAAACACCAAGACATATCATACTCAAACTTTCCCAAACCAAAAGATGAGGAAAGGATCCTGAGAGCAGCTCTGGAAAACGAAGTTCCCTACAAAGGAGAACCACTAAGACTAAACTCTGATTTCTCAGCAGAAACCATACAGGCAAGAAAGCAATGGGGCAACACACAGGTGGAGAGGCTGAGATGAACATCGAATTTGAAATATTTAAAATGGATACAAAACTATTTCAGTAATGCAGACAATTATGTGTGTTGTTGTGGGTGGTGGCACTGTTGGTAAAACATGTCTCCTGATATCCTACACAACAAACAAATTTCCATCTTAATATGTACCAACTGTTTTTCACAACTATGTAGTCACAGTTATGACTGGCAGAGAGCCATAGACTCTCCACTTCTGATACTGCAGGGCAAGAGGATTATGATAGATTACGACTGCTGAGTTATCCACAAACTGATGTATGTATTTCTAGTCTGTTTTCCAGTCGTCTCTCCTTCTTCATTTGAAAATGTGAAAGTAAAGTGGGTATCAGAGATAACTCACCACTGTCCAAAGACTCCGTTCCTGCTTGTTGGGACCCAAATTGATCTCAGAGACGACCCCTTTACTATTGAGAAACTTGCCAAGAACAAACCAGCTCATCACCCTAGAGACTGCTGAAAAGCTGGCCCACAACTTGAAGGTTGTCAAATAATGTGGCGTGCTCTGTACTCCCACAGAGAGTCCTAAAGAATGTATTTGATGAAGCAAATATCAGCTGCCTTGAAGCCTTCAGAACGGAAGGGGAGCCACAGGTGTGTGCTGCTATGAACCTCTCACCATAGCCCTTTCTACACTGCTGCTCTTGGCGCCGTACTAAAAGCAATGTTTAAATCAAACTAAAGATTAAAACTTAAAATTTGTTTTTGCAATAAAAAAAGAGAAAGCAATGGGATGGCATATACAAAACTGAAAGAAAAAAGCACTGCCAACTAAGAATCATTACCCAGAAAATCTGTCCCTTAAACAGGATACTGAAATTAAGATATTTCCAAATAAATAGAAAATAAAGGAGTTTGTAATAACCACCAACTTTACATAAAAGACTAAATGGTGTCCTTTTGACTGAGAACCAACAACAGCAGACATCAGCTTG